AAGCTTTGGCTGCAGGGTTGAATTCAGCCACAGATGTAGTGCAGTGGCTATGTTTTAGGCTTGGCTCTGTGGTAATTGGTTTGTGCTTGAGTTTAGCCCTAAATTCATGCTGCAGAACTTCAGTATATGCTGCATGGGTCAGTATGTCCTTGCCAGGACGAGAAGTTCATGATATCCACAGAAGGCTGATGGATGGCTTCCGTGACAGCCTCCTTGCGTGGTTTCTGCCTGTTTCCCAGGGGACACGGCCACAGATTCCATCCTTGGCCTAGCAGTCCCACCAGCCATACAACTTAGCTATTGAAGTTACTCAGGCATCTGGGCATTCTTTGTAGTCAACAGAAAGAAGCCAAGCGGGCAGCAGTTCTTTGTCTTAAATCTCCTGTCACCTGATGCTGTGCTTGACCGATTTCTCCATTGACCTGTCTTCTCCTTTATAACCTTACTGTTGGTTCCAGTAGCCTAATTTATGAGGTTTCGTTGTTTCCATGTTATTCTTCCTCCTCCTCAGCCCAACCTCCCTCCCTCACCCTGCCACTCCGACTACTTGAGAATTAATAATACTGAGATGCAAGGGGCAAGGATTCCTCTGGCACCAGTGCATCATCTGTCAATGCTCCGTGATCCTTAGCACAGCCCTTCCCAGTGAATGCCAGGCAAAAACTCACAGCAAGGGCAGTGAAGCTCCCTGGTACCCCGAGGAACAGGCTAGTGGCTGGTCACTGCTGAGATGAGATGTCTCTGAAGAGATGGAGCCCGTCTGGGTCTCCCGTTACAACCCACAGTTACAGCACATCTTCATGCTGTTGCAGTTTGTTGAGCACAGTAGAAGCTATTGAAGCCCTTGGTTGATGATTCTGGGGGTGGTATTAAGGGTTATTGCTTTTTCATACCAATGTCACGCCTTTAAATATTCATTAAAACTGCATGATTCCCTCCCTTCCATTAAGTCCTGAATAATCAACGCTCTGGTTTCTTCATACTTCACAAGCCAGGGCTGGATCATGCCTATTCCTCCTTGCCAGGTTTGAATTCTCTGCTCTTACCAGTGATCTTCTTTAATATCTTCATTAAGATCTTCATAGAGGGCTGAGATACGCTTCCCCTCGCCGCCTGTGATGGCCTTTTGGCATGTAGTGTGGAAGGGGGAGAGGCCTTCAGGCTGCTGCACCTCCATGCAGGGTGAGATGAGCACTGACAGGATGCTCTGTTAATTATAGACGATGAGGGGGATGGAGGCTTGGCTGAAGGCAGGGCTTTGCTTCTGCTCCTTCCCTGCTAACCCAGGGACAGAGGTGGCAAACTCTCAGTTCCTGTCGAAATCATTTGAAAGGGTAGGGAGAGGAGCTGGGAGGAGGAGAGCAGATGTTCTGCTGTCCAGGAAAGGAGCCATTCACCCCAGACCATGCACCAGCAGCCACCTCAGGGCACCCTGCCTGGGGTGCTGGTATGATCCCTGGGTTGGGCTCATGCCCTGGTCCAGCATAGCAGAGGGGTATCTCATTGCAGCAATGTCTGTCCCCGTGTTAAGACCATGGTAGCACCCTGGCCATGTCCTTCCTCTCATGCTGTCTGAAGCTGGCGATGGGGACAAGGAGCCTTTTAACTCCATGTGTTTCTGCCATGGCCTGGGCCCTTTTGCCACATACAGCTCCACACTGCTGCTCCTTCTGCACCAAAAGGAGTAGGGCGAGACCTGACAGGACCAAGAAAGCCAGGAGGAGCAGGAACAATGGAAGGGCATTCCCTGTCTTGCAGCAAGGGATGCATCGAGTAGAGCCTGCTCTGCACACCGGAGCCAGGAGCCGTTCAAAGGAGTGGCCGCCTGCTCCCTGGAGAGTTTAAGCAAGTTAAACAGGAGCTGGGGTTTGATCTGGTTGTGTTTAGTGAGAGAGCGAAGAGGAGGGACGGCAGCGGGGAGCAGGGACCAGGGGGACCCAAGGGGCCGTGGTCCTGAATAGCATCACTGGCACCGGGCCAGCGGCCGCAGCTGCACCTCCATCACCCTGAGTCACACACGACACCACTCTCATTGCTCCGTCTTGACACAGGCTAATAAGGGAGGATGAGGAGAGCCGGTGACTCCAGAAGGGTTACGCCGGATGCTTCTTTCCCTGTTTAAACTTTGCTTCTGCTGGAGCAAACGATTTGAGGTTTGGGAAGGCAGAGGCAAAGAGCCAAGTGGCAGGATCTTTAATGAAGCTGCAGTCGGAGCTGGAAGGTGGCTGTGCCCGCCCTTGGCATCGTGGGTTTGCACCTGCGAGTAATGTGGGTGCAACTCATGAGCCCAGATGAAAGCAGGGAGGTGCACAGCCACTTGCAAAGTAATTGCTGCTGCAGAACTGCGCCAGCACAAAGCAGGGGGCAGGAGGTTAAGGAAGTCTTGAAAATCAAGTCTCTGCTGCTTTCACTGTACACCACAAAGGGACCATTCACTGCAGGGAAGAGGGGCTTTTCCCCCTGTTTATCCGTGCTTCCAACTCTGATTGAACCCATCTTGAATTTTATTTTAACTTATAGGTCTAGAGGGGAGAAAATCATAGGAGGGAAATAAAAGGACAAAGGATCAATTGGCACGTGGGGAAGTTTAGCAGGAGGTTCTGGAAATATGTGTCCATTAGATTGCTGAGATCAGGTTCATTAGTAGACCTGAGTGCTGACAGAAGTGACCTGACAATCAGCTCTGCTGGTGGACACCCCCCACCACTAACGTGTCACGGGTTGCTGTTTAATATGTGATAGATATATTTAGAATGTGGACTAAAAGAACAAGGACATACATGTCTGCCAACACACTAACATAAGTCAGACCTGCCATGCTCTGCTTCCCTTTGAGTATTAAAAAGGAAAGAGGGGCCTCCTTCAAGGTGGATGGGCTCTTCAGTGAATTTCTGTGTCTTTCTGCTTGCGGGACTTAAAACGTGCACGACTTTGCTCTTACACCTTTCGCTGCGGTTTGGCCTTGTTGCAGTAGTAGAGATGCTCTTCCCTTGCACACACACGACTGGGGAAGAGCTTCATCACCCCATACTGCTGCAGCAAACCTTGAGGGGCTTTTTGACCATGAACCGCAAGGCTCAGCTCTTGAATAGCTGCTCCTGCCTGCAGCCTGCCTCCTCAACAGCTTTTACTAGACCAGTTTGCTCCTTCCTTCCATCCCGGGTGGCCAACCCCATGCATGAAAAATGCCGGCAAGTGGCACTGAGCGTGTCTCCCTGGATAATCTTGCTTTTGTCAGAGAAGTTTAACACCAGCCATCCATTATGTGATGCTAGTCAGTAAAATCATTATGGGCCTGTGCTTTTTCTGTTTGTCTTCATTGTGGCTGCTGCTGGTTCCACCTGATTTTAGGTTTCAGCAGCAACATGGAGTGTATTTATCACTTTGCCCTTTGAAGCGTAACTGCTTGAATAAACTCACCTATTTGGCAGTGTCTTTCAGGCCCTGACACGCTGGTTTATTCTGATAAATGATTTTAAATCTGTTTTAAGCTGCTGGAAGAGGGGGGAATTGCTTGCTGTTTAGAAATGTTACTGCTAAAGCTGAAGATACCTGGTTATGAGGTGAGCAGCAGTTACAGGCATGGTGGAGTCTTCTGCCAGGCTTGGCAGGACCTTAAGGGTCCCAGGCTGCAGATCTGGGGTTAAAAATGCTCCTCAATCTATTGCTACCAGAATAGCAGCAAATCTGATGTTTACTGGGGTAAGAACAAGCTGCCAGACTGCTGTCTGCACATCCATACGTTTCTTTCCCTTTGCAAACAGTTTGCTCATGCTGTACATGTCCTCAGCTCTCCATACAGTATTGAGCTGACCTTCAGGTGCCTTTTGTGAAGCCGTGGCTGCCAGGATGGGCAACCAAAATGCAGTGTTATCTGCTGCCTATGCTGTGGGCTGGCCAAGCATCCCATGTTCCCAGGCAGATGAGGCTTACTGATGAGGTTGCTCTTTGTACCAGGATAAAGTGGGATCATCATGACTTTTCTCACCCTTGTTCTCCTTCCTCCTTCCAGCCCCTGCAGAGTTTGTGCAGCATCCCCAGTCCATTTCTAGGCCCGTGGGGACTACTGCTATCTTCACATGTGTGGCCCAAGGGGAGCCCCCACCCCAGATCACTTGGCTGAGGAACGGGCAGATCCTGGAGACCAGTGACCACATTAAGCTGAAGAATAACAACAGGTAAGTGCTCGCGCGCTGGCTGCTGGCACTGCAGTGTGGGGTGGAGGACAGTGTGAGATGCACAGCTGGGTTGTGCCGTTCCCCAGCATCAAACTGGAGTTACCATGCTTGGAGGACTGACGTCACCTACCTGATGGTCCAGAAATAGCTGTCACTGCAGGTCTAATTCTTGGGTAAAGAGCCAGTTAGCTCACAGAGGCTTCAGCTTTTGTGCAGGCAGCGGATTTGACGCAGATGCACGCAGTAGTTCATTCTGAAGCAGTCAGTGAAGGCTGGCAGAGAGCAGTGGGGTGTGCAGCGCATCCTGGTGAGCTGTTCAAGCCCTGCTTTCAATGTAGAACTATTGTGCTTGAGGCTGAGATGGGCATGAGTGATCCAGAAAGACTGCACCCCTGCTGCCTGAGTGCCTTGGAAAGGGAGTGCTTTAGAGCCAGCTAGGCTTCAGCAGGTGAGGTAGGTTGCTGTCACACATTCCTTGGACTGATGCAATGCTCTGTGACCCTGCTTTTGTGGGAGGCTACATTAGAAGATGTTATTTTGAACTGTCTGGGCTCCAGGGAAAGGGGGAGTGGGTTATTTGTTGACTTTCCTTCTGCGTTAGCAAAGAGCTAATGTGAAGGTGGTAATGTTCAGAATCAGGTATGTGGATTCAAGTTGGACTTTGATATACTAAAACACTGCTTCAGTCCTACTAGCTGCACTTTGTAGGCTTACATTTCAGTGCTTCGTGCTTTACTGTGCCAGGAAATCAGCATTAGACCTTGACTGATGATTCAGGAACTCAGCAAAAGTGTCCTGGTCGTTATCTGGCTATTCTTGGAAGGACCAAATATTGCCCCTGGAGTTGGCAGGGACCACACTTACTCCGCAGTGGAGGAACCGTGCTTTAACCCCTGAACATTGACCTGCCTGGGTGTGCAAATGTAAATACATTTGAAATAATACTGGCATGGAAGCTGACTTTCACTAAACTTCAGCCTTTTATCTCAGCAGGGGAGAGTGTTTTCTCTGAGTGCTAAATAACTGCATTTTCATGTGAAGGGAGGGGGATGTTTGTACCGAGGAAATGATACGGTGGGATGCACTTAGTGTGAAAATTACAACTTGATGACATAGTTTCTATGGAAATAGCGTGGAACAATATCCTGAAAAATAATAGCACCTGTGTTGTAAAGCTAAATTATTGGTAGAGATTTGTACTCTATGGCATAATCTATAGATAGCTGCTATGTGTATTAACAAATGTGTCTCATGAATGCAACTCCCCAACCTCGCTGGAGGGTCCAGACCTTCAGTTTAGACTGTTGGGAAGTGTCGTACAGGCACCATGGCTTGTTCCTCAAGGAAGAAGAGTTTATTTTTCTAGTTTTTATGTAATATGGCTTTTTGTTTTCAGGTTTAAGGCTTTTTTAAAGCTTTGCTGTATGGAGTGTGGCAGGTTGTGTGTGGCAAGGAGGTTAAGGTGTGAGTTGTAAGAAAATCTTCTTGATCAGTGTAGGTTTTCTCCAAGCTGGAAGCTTTTAGAGCTTCAGAAAGCTTGCTTTGTGCACATACAGATGCCACACAATCCTGGCTAGTTCCTTGCATGGGTTTCTGAGGCATGTCTGCCCTTATAATACAAACAGAGCAGAAATGAGAGAAGGGATATTAGTGCATCCTCTTTTATTGACTGGAAAGCAGAGTCAGAAGTGTCTGAAGACTTTACAAGGAGTCATTAGATCCATGAAGTCACACTGAATTCATCTCTGTGTCTCACCCAGATGTCTTGCCTGTGAAATCATTCCTCCTCACTGTTTGAGGAAGATAGAAGTAGGGTCTTTGGTCATGGTCATGTTTTCAGGCCAGGTCCCTGTGCCTGGAGCTCTGCTACACGTGAACTGTGGCGTGGTGGACATCGCTGTAATCGTTTTCTGATGGGAATCATTTAACACAATTCCATGTCAGCCGTTCTCACTGTGAGCTCAATGACCACGTTACACTGCATCTGGCACAGGCTGAGGAAGGGAGCTCAACTAGTCGCTGGTGCTCAGCTGACACATGGCATCTTCTCAAACTATAGTAATGCGATTGTAAAGCTGAGCCCTAAGGCCATCGTACTCATCGATGTTGAACTTTTGGCTTCTTTTGCACTAGGCTTGGTCTATTCTGGCCCCCAGCTTCAGGCAAGTGGCCATGCCTGGTGGTTCCCAAAGCTGTCAGTCTGGAAAATGCCCTCACTGGAACAGCAGGGCTGGGTGCTCCCTGGATTGGAGGCAACCGATCAAAGGCTGGGTTTTTTTCCAGAGCTTCTTCAAGTTGTCCTTTGTTTCCTTCCCATGGACATGACTAAGTGCTGTAACCCACTTAGTTCTGGGCTGAATCAGTCTGTGATTATGCTTTGGATTTATCAGTCTATTGCACTTGGAAAATATTTGTCTGTGTAAAGATGGGTCTGGAATCTACTAGTAATAAAGCTACTAAACTGCACTATGAGCTTTTTAATTAGATTACATGGTTTCCTAGAAAATTCATTTGGATTAAAACTCTACTTAATATGGCAATAAAGGTCTGAATGCTCCCAAAGAGATTTTTAGGAAAAAAAAAAGAGTAAATCATCCCAAATCATATAATGTGCTAATTGACTGCAGAACATATCCTTATGAGCAACTTTGTTCTTGTGAACAAACACAGCCTGAAGAGAGGTCCAGACCTGCAGGACATGGAGATTTTGAGATGCTGCTCTGCTCTCACAAGCTTGAGGTATCATTCCTGTGGTCAGTCATGTGTCTGCACAAACCCACAGCCGATGGGAGGATCTGCCCATCAAACTGTTGCTTCACAAAGTTGTGAAGGGCCCTTTGGCATCTACATCACCCCACTGTCTCTCATAAGCAAACCCAGGGAGAGCAAACCCTCAAGGTCAGAAGCCCATCTTCGGTGAGATGGGACAGCAGCTTCAGGACTGGATTCCTTGCAGGTTGGATGTGGCTGCTGGTACATCAGCCAGTCACTTGCCAAGCAACTTCCAGCCTTTCAGCACAGTAAAATGAGCCTCACAGGCTGTGTCTGATAAACACCTCTTCCCTCGCGGTCCCTCAGGTATGAATTCTCATCACCTGATGTGTTGATGGTTTCTGGGCACATTAGCATTAAAGATCAGCCTTCTGCTATGCCCTCTCCAGAGGTGGTTGTTATGTTTGGAAAATGCCAGCTGTGTGGGAACAAAATATCCAATCGATGATTAGCAAAAATCAAAAGCAGTTCTGGGATAGCGGATAATTGTTAATGAAAAATGCATGAAGGCTCCGGCGTAGGGAATTGTGGGGTTTTCCATTAAAAGCTGTGAATAAAAATCACTGGAGGAGCTGGCGCTGGGGCTGCCTGGTTGTGCACTCCCTGGGTTGGGGATGGAGCTGATTGCTGTTAGGGTGATGCTGCATTGAGCCGTCCTCTCAGATAGAGAAGCTGATGGAGCCTTTTTGACTCTGGTGGAGCCATCCCTGTGTCCCACCGCCACAGGGTCTGTCCCTCTCTGTTGATCAGAAATGCCATTTTCCTTGTACTCCTGGGGTGATCTGTATAAATCATGATCTAAATGCTTAAGAGGTGTAGTGAGTATTTCCAGCAGAATTCCCACCTGGAATCACTAGCCTGTCCTGAAAGCAGGGGCGTATCACTGCAGGAGGAAGCAGAAGGGGATTTTTTTGTCTAAAATCATGCTTTCTAGGTTATTACTCCAAAATTTACAAGGAAGGATGAAATACTACCCGAATTACTGCTCTGAAAGGTTTATTGCTTTTCTTCCTTTGACCCAACCGTGTTCAGGGGGGTAATTTTGAGCCTAGAAGTGTATCACACTATGGGGTTTATATTGCCATAATAGCAAGGAACAAAGGCCAACATCTTCAGAGAAGGCAGGCTCTAATATTGATTTTCCAAGGAGATTTTATTTACAAAATGGTAATTAAGGGACTTCATTTACTCCACTGGAAAAAGGCTTCATTAGGACCTGGGCTCAGGTGGCATTTGCTCTTCTCTGTGACCTTATGAACTGTCTCCTTTTTAAGTTCTTCCTTACTGGTTTGCACTTGGTTTAGTGCTCTGGGAAGGACTCATTTGAATGGCCACACAGCCCTTTTGGTACCAAACCCAGGAAAACCCCATGTTTCAGCTGGGTGTAGATGCAGATGGGTTTGGACGTCCCTTCATGGTGCACACACCCCACACACTCTTGAATTTGCAGGGATTTGGACACCTTAAGCAAAGCCTGCAGGTTATTCATGCAATGAGTTTGAAAGCAGTTGGTGATTATGGGAAGGTACTGTACAGCAAATCATATTTCAGTTCCCAGAAGCATGACAAATAAGTGTGTGGAAAACTGGGATGTGAAACAGCTGCTCCTGATTTAAGAGTAATTTATGGGTTTCACTTTGTTTGGAAGACACGTGGAAATGGCCTTGCAAGGAGGGTCTCTGCATGAGCACCCAAAGCTCTGCTAAGCAGCGATGCATCAGCATGATCCCACCTTCCCGGCGCTGAGCGGGGATCCTGTGCTGGGACAGTGCAGCCATATCCCACAAAAGGGATCTGCAGCAGCCCCGGAGCAGCCAATGCAACGGGCATGGGTCTCTCCTTCTCATGTGGCTGTGATTATTTTGCTACCAAGGTGCCTGTGTTATTTTTCTCTGCGTGCTGGTCCACTGAGCTGCTCTTGAAGTGTATCACTGGTTTTTGTGTGCGGTTGGATTGTGGAGCTCAGCCAGCTCCTGCTTGTCCCTAGCGCGGTGCCGGAGCAGTGGTGAGTTCCCAGGAGGGCTCAGCACACGTGTCACATCAAGACAGTGCAAACCTGGGCGTCATGAAGCCAGTGAAGAAGGGTCAGTGTATCAGGATGAAATGGTGCCACTGCTGTGCCTCCTGTAGCAAATGTGGTGCCGTTTACAACATCCCATTTATAGAAGGCATGCTGTACAGCCAAATCCCCATCCTGCCCGGCTCTGTCCTCCCAGGGGTGTGAGAAGGAGCAGCATCTGTAACCACATTTGCAGGCCAAGAGTCTGCCAGCCCTTTCATCCCTATGGCCCCGCTGGGACCAGTAGCATACCTCCAGAAACTGTGCTTTGGGTGGGTCTGTAGCTGCAGAATCAGACGGGGATCCTGGCGGTTCATTCGTCACAGCATGACACAACGTGACCCGTAACAAATGGAGCCAGAGCAGGGCACAGGGATAGGGCACCTGAGTGTGCTGTTGGTGGCTTTCTGTAGCTGCTGGCACTTAAAATGCTCTCCCTGGTAGCCACAGCCTGCTCTCTGCATTAATTTCATCACACTCCCCCTTTCGTGCGCCCGTGCACACGCATGCTGATATCCTTCCAGATGGGCCCCTCGTCTTTGTGCTGCTGAATCGATGAAGAGGCTTCCTTCAGTTCTCAGACTTTTTCAGAGGAGCCTTTGGAAAGCCGATCTCCGGTCACCGGCCTGGACCCCTGACCCGAGCCAGATCAGTCATCCTGCTTGCCTGTATGCTGGGAAGACAGCTTGGGAATACCATGGCTTTCGAGCAGCGGAGGCCTCTCGTCTCAGCTCAACCGGGTGTGAATCTGCAGCAGGTCCTCTCCCCACTTCCATCAATGCCTGTCAGGGCATTGTGCGGAGATGTGATGGAGCCCTCGGCTCGCAGAGCGGCTTTGGTGACCAGCAGAAAGCCTTCTGGCATCTCGCCTCGCCTGACGTGCTCACGGCGCTGCCAGTCTGGCACTCCGGGAAAGTTTTCCAGCAGCAGATGTCCCAAAGTGACAGATTTTTTTCCCCCGTTGACGGGAAGAAATAAAAGGACGCTGCATATTTCAGATGGTTGATGCGCAGAGACGCCCCGCGCCTCCTCACGCAGCAACTACATGTTTTCCTTTTGTTTGAGCTTCCTTGAAGAGAAGAAGACAAAAAGTAGCAAAACCTGGGAAAGCTGCTGGGCCAAACACTGATCCTGCTGCGCTGCATCCCGGGGGTGATGCAGTGGGTGAAGGCAGGAGGAATTTGTCGGTGCTTAGGGTGGAAATGGATGCACAGCGGAGGTATCAGCTGGGATGATGGGGTTCATGTAACTCACTGCTAGCTCCTGCCCTCCTCGTTGTAGCCACCAGTGTGCTTCAGAGCTCGCATGGGGTTTGCAGGGAGCTCAGCAGCCTCCTTTGGAGGTCTGCCCTTATTCTCATTCAGCTGGTGTTTAGGTGTTGGGCATTCTGCTCACCAACTTCTCCACACTTGGTTTTTCCTCCTTATCCAGGCATAGCCAAAAATTCAGTTGTTTTATTGCCCCCATTGTCTGCACATCATTCCAGGTAACATGGGCCCTAGGTAGTGGATGGCTGAGGCTCTTACTGCACAGTACATCCAAACACAGCCGTATAAATCTCAATGCAAATTAACTTTTCAAAGCCTGAGGCAAGTTTCCAGCTACCTGCCATGGCTCTTTGTGGAAATGTATTTTATTTATTAATATCTTCTGACTTGACTGTCCGTGACAGTGTTACCAGTCACTCTGGGACCTCTGCGGAGAGGCATTTGAGATATCCAAGGCTCTGCCCAGCTCCGGCTCCCAATGGCCAAGTGCTGTCCTGCTCCAGGACTGCTGGCATCCAGCACATCATCTGCGTTGCATGAGAGGAGCTTTGCTCACCCCACAGTCCTCCCAGGAGAAAGATGCCTTTGACCCCAGCATCATGCTGTTACCATCAGGCTCCTTGCACTGCTTTCCAGCCAGGCTCCCCTCTTCCCTCCTCCACGTATTTTCCTCTCTGTTTGTAAAGCACATAAATATGCTCGGAAGCAACGGAGCCTAAATACTCCTTGTTGTTCTTGAGTTGCTTTGTGCTTGGAAAGCTGCTCTTGACTTGTGTGCCAGCCCGGCCTGGCTGCTCAGGGTGCCCAGATGCACAGCGGCCACGTGGAAATAATCCCTGCATTGACGGGGCAGAAGGAAGCGCTGCTGCTCCTTCCACACATCTGCTTTGTGCAGAGCTGCAAGTGCAGCTTTGGGATGGCGTAATCCTGCCTCCTGCCATCTGTCCTCGCAGGAATCAGCCCTTGTTGACACAGCTGAGCCACACATCGGGTCCTTCCTCCCTGTGCCCCCCTCCCACTTCTACCTTTCTCCTTCCATTTAATCAGATACATTGAGCCCATGGCTATGAGAGGAGCTTAGGGCTGATTCTCTAAAATCTCCATATCAGCTGAAACCATCACATTTGATATTCCATTTACAATGTTTCCAAGGAAACAAAGGCACAGGACATAAATAGATGACTGTTAAACATTTGCTCACTCACCATGGCCCCGATAATTTGCAAGACAGGAATATGAATGTTAAATCAACAGCAGTAATAAATTTTAATACAGGAAGACCAATATTTTGCTGCAATTAAAAGCAGCATTCATTGTGACATACAGGCAGGCAGTGGCAGGTTATTTATAATTTCCTTTTAACATGTACAGTTTTTCATTTACATAAAAGGCAGCTTTGATTATGACTCCTAAAAAGGCGTGAAGTGCCCCTCGCATCACCAGGGGTGCTTGGGATTTACTCATGTGCAGTCAAGTCCCAGGTCCACCTGGAATTCACTGCAGGAGAAGAAAATAGTTCAGTTCTCCCTACAAGCAAGCAGTGCATGGGGATTTGGTTAGGTGTGGGTCACTTCTTACAGAAAACAGCAACCACAAAGCTCATGCAAGCTTTGGCATCATAAGCCAACAAGAGGATGCTGAAGCTTGAAGGCATCATGGTCTGCCAAATATTCCTGCCAAGCCAGAAGCAAACCACAGCTCAGGTAAACTGGACAGGACTAGAAATACAAATAGGGATTAATCCAGAGTGGTGCATGTGTGGGTGATGCTCTGAAGTGGAAGCAGGGGCAGTGGCAAGCAGTGTTTTATGCAGTGCTGTGGGGGTATATCCTGTAGCCTATCTCTAGGACTAGTAATGAATATAATTAGGCTGCTATTTATAGTGGTGTCAAAGCTGTCACTGGGTTTAGGTGGTCCCTACTGGACCTTTACTTCAGAAATTCTCCCCAAGGTGCCCTGTTTGTGGAACATCCTACCAGGACTAAGGGCACTAATAAGCATATTTTATCATAACCCGAGCTGCTGCCTCAGGGTTGGTAGAAACATCTCCAACATCAAAGACTGCCTTTCCATTTCCAGCTCGGAGCTGGGCACAGTGTGGTGAGACTCCTCACCCCATGTCTTGGAAGGGAGACACGCTGGCTGTTTAATTCATGTGGCCTTGTGTCTGCTGGATAGTCACAAACTGAATCACGTTGTTCCTGGCTTGGTTTCTGAGGAGAGGGGCACAAGCCCTGGAGAGAGCAGGGCTTGCACTGATGGGTCTCCGTTTGTGAGCAAATGCTGTTCAGAACAGCTGGTTTGCATGTGGAGTGCCAAGATAGAGCTGATGTGTTGTACAGTTATTTGTGTCAATATTTGCTGATGTTGTTGTAAAGGTATTGGGCAGCACAATACTTGGGCTGGCCCTGAACTTGCTCTGGTTGTACACATCCATTGCTGGAGGGTCATGCAGTGCAGAAAGGGCCTTCAGTTCCTGGGGCCATGTGTACAAGGACTCTGGTTGTCCCTGTGCCCATCAAGCCACTAAACCTCCCTTCTGGAGGTGGTGCAGAGATGGGCACTGTGCTAAGGAACGCACTCATTTGGGAAGCTGGTACATGGCTGGCTTTTCCCCCTCCTTTAGGGATGTTTTCCACCAGGGTAGCCAGTGCCTGTCTTTATCTTGGAGGCTGAAAACAGCATCTAAGCCTGATGTGGAGGCCCCAGTAGCAGTCTGGAAGAACCATCCTGGTTGCTGCCCTGAGGTTTTGCAGCCAAAACCTGTGACTTGCTTGTAAGCTTTGGCTCTTGGCTCGTGGTGATGGTGTTTCTGGAAATGCAGAAGCAGGAGCTGAGGCTGTAACCCTGCCAGATAAGTCAGCTAATTCCTGTGTTACCCTAAGACTGCTCTAATGTGCTATAATGCAATTAGAGCATCACCAGAGGGTTTTCTGGCTGTGCTTGATTAGACTTAGCTTAGCAACTGTGTGTGGAGCCTGGATGGGCATCACTGGTGTGTACTGGAACCAAACCAGTTAAAGCTGGTTTGGGTATATGGATGCATTTACCACAGAGCTATCTCTCTAGTGTGCCTGGGATCTTCCTGAATTCAGGAAGACTTCAAATCCTGCCATTCCCCCTCCCCATCTGGCTGCACTTTAACCACAGTCTCTTCAAGTTGAGACAATCTTTCTAGTCATGGGATCTAGGGAATGATGCATTCACTTCCTGGGCTTTATTCCCCGAAATGTGCACAACTTTCTGGAAGCCTTCTGTGGAAACAGAGGCACGTGGGATGCCCTGCCATCAGAGCCAGCATGGATGGCCGTGGCATGGCTGGAGGGGAGGGATGCCCACTGCAGTGCACCCAGTGAGATGCTTTCCCTCGTGTGTCCCCACGCAGCACTCTCACCATCTATGGGATCAACCAGGCGGATGAAGCCATCTACCAGTGCATCGCCGAGAACAGCGCCGGCTCCACGCAAGCCAGCGCTCGCCTCACGGTCCTGTGGGCAGATGGGCTGCCCGGTCCTCCCCAGAGCGTGAAGGCTGAGACGGTCTCTGCAACCACCATCCAGGTGTCCTGGACTGAACCTCTGCAGAACACCAAGGAGATCATCGGCTACGTGCTGCACATTCGCAAAGCTGCAGGTACGGTGCCCTGCCCGCTGCCCAGAGCATCCTCAGCCTTCCCTTAATTTAGCAATGCAACCCACTAGGTAAAGCAGGTCTGCACTGCAGTAGGCAGTGCTACCACGATATTCTCCATCACCTCCCTGTTGCTGAAAGACATTGATGAAGCAGTAATGCTGCTGTAAACACCAAAAGGCTGGGGAGGGTGAGGCCACACGGTCAAATCTTGCTGCCCACTTAGGTCTCTGGCAAAGTGCATAGAAATACAAGTATATAATTATATGGGCAGATATGTATCCACCTTAGGGACCGAAACTACTGCTTCCACCATCTGTTTAGTCTCTTTACCTCTTGCAAAGCCTATAATGCTGCTCTATTCTCTCTTTTCTTTGCACTTCAGATCCTGTAGAGATGGAGTATCAGGAGGCTGTAAGCAAGAGCACCTTCCAGCAGCTAGTGACTGATTTAGAGCCCTCGACCAGCTATAGCTTTTACATAAAGGCTTACACCTCCCGAGGTGCCAGCAAAGCCTCAGAAGTCACAGTGGTGAGCACGCTGGGAGAAGGTAAGGAACGCTTTGCGCTTGGACCATCAGATGCTGAAAGCCACAGTGCATAGCAGCAGCACCAGTCACCCCACAGAGCTTTGGCACATAGCCTGTGGTGGTGATGCTCCTTGTTCCTGCTCCTCCTCATACTCTGGGATATTGTGGAAAGCTCACTTGTATCGTTACAATGGGGTCGACTGATCGCATTGCCTCTCACCGCTGATGTTGTAGCAGGGGGTGAGTGCAAGCCTGGCTAGTCTTGTGCATTGCAGCTGCTCTGGGCTTTCCTAAACTGCTTGCTAAATGCAGATTTCCTGCTCAGGCAGCATCTCAGCATCCTCCAGCAGCTCTGGTACTCACAGCTCTTACTTGAAAAGTACCACAGTTCCTTAAATTTGAGGGGGTTTTCTGCTCTACCTTGGAGAAGTCACACCAGAGATGAGCTGTCCTGACCTACAAATCTGTCTTGAAGCTGCCTTCTGTTTCAGTGGGAAGTTAGTGTGATCTCCAAGGCTTTTTCCCTGACTTGCCTCCCAGACATGGCCACCAGTTAGCTTCCCCTGCAAGAAAGTGGGTGCTCTGGTGCAGGAGCCTTGCACACAGACAGCAGACAGAAGCCACAGTCCCAGTGTGATCTGTTAGCTGGCATTTTAGGAACGTTTTCCTAGAGACTCATGTACCTCTCCAGCACCTCTGAATCCTGGTTTGTCTCATATATGGAAACTAATTTCTTAGGAGCATTGCATCATTCTCACAAACACTCAGTAGTTCAGAATTTGCAGCAGAGAGGGCATTGGGTGTGAGGATGTTACTTCGGATCAAATGAAAGTGTGTGTTAACATCCAGGTGGAAGATCCAGTTCTCATTCCGTTTTCAGCCCTTGCAGGTGTTTACTACAGCATTTAAGCCATACCACCAATAAATCCTCACCCTGCTGGGTCGTTCCCTGAAAGTTTATTTTTCCTTGGTACTCCACAGGGCATCGGTCACCCTTGGAGTTTGTTTTTCCTTCCAATTTAGAGGCAGAAGGACGGACCAAGGCAAAACTTCACACTCCTTGACCCAGTGCTCTGAGTTCAGCTACTGGAGCTACAAGGCAGCCTCACCTCATAGAGCTTGGTGTTTCTGCAGAAGTCTGGGTCAAGTGAGAGAGGACTTTTTGTCATTATTACCTTCAATCCCGACAGGGATAGTTAGGTATCTGGTAATGGGATCATAAATTTCCTGGCTTTCAGAAGTTTCAAGGCAGCACTGTCCTGCTCTGCTATCCTTATCCTGTGTCACAAAGCTTCAGCAGTATGTTCAGGATGGACAAGCTGGCTTGGTTAAGATATTCAATGCCAGCTTGCATTTGCCTTGTAGGAAGATAAAGAAGGATTTAAAAGCCCAGTTCTGGCTTGATTTGTTTGCTTTGCTTCACTTGGGTGCCTGTTGCCTTCTTCTCAAAGATGAGAGAGCGGGTCAGAGAGCCAGGATCCGGTGGCTTTTGTCACAAATTAAGGTTTCTGCAGATTTTCCTCTTCGTCACCCAGTATCTCCCTGAGGTGCACTGGAGAGCTGTGATTCCCTGGTGCTTGGGGAGCCCCTTGACCTGTGCTAACACCCTTGGAAAGGGAGGGGATTTCCCTGACATGCCATGTCTTGGTGTTGTCATTCTGTGTCTGAGATGTCCACAGAAGCCCCGTGGTGCCAAGCGCCCCTCCGGTGTCACCATGATGCCATGTCCTGCCTTGTGTGGAAAGGGCACAGCATGTGAATCTGGCAGCCAGGGCAGTGCTTGTCAGGGTGGCCGGCAGAGATTCTGCCAGTTGGAGACTGGTCTGTTACGCTGGTGTTGTCCGGAGTAGGAACATGGTGAAGGCACTGAGGAGCAGGGCTGCTTTCGGCTTGGGGAGGTCAGCTTTTCATGGCTAGGACTGTGCTGAGAGTGCGCTTGGCTGAAGCCTCCGATGCTGCTTCCTTTGTGCCAGTGATGGAAAGTAGAAGGGAACATGCTATAGAGAAACTACCCAGCTGAACCTTGTCCTCCATAAACCTCTCTCACTAGGAAGATCCTCCCATCTCCTCCCTGTCGTTCTCCTCTATGCCGTTTCACAAATGCTGTGGTATATTAAATCTCAAACCCTCTCTGCTTCATTAAGCAGCACACACTCCTTGCTCTTGTCTTTTAATGCTTTTTAGGGTTTTCTCCAGGACTTTTTGACATTCCTCTAGGGTGAAGACTGTTCCTTTAGTCATCTTCGGCTAAAGACGCCTTCAAGAAGAAAGTTGAAATGACCTGGGGAAAATTCCAAACAGCACGGAAGAGGAAAACCAGTATCCCAGCCCTTAGCATGAGGGAGATGCATCATTTATAGTAGATCCATATTATGTCTTATATATACTTCTGTGAAGCACTTATACACTGGTGTGTGCACATATATTTATACACACACACAGATATACTCCATCTGTATACACTTACTTGTGTAATAACCTTATATAGAGCACATGCATTCTGCGAGTGCATACATATAATCAGTATTATACATATATATTCTCAAGGTTTGAATAAATACTATATATTCCGTATTTTGAAGGAGAGAGATTCTTGTGGTTTTTATTAAATGTAAGGGTCTGCAACCATAAAATAAAGCCAACTCTTCACAAATCAGGATGGCCCACATCAGTGTTTCTTTGTCCATGGGATAATGCGATTTTCCTTTCTGTGGCATTTTCACCTGTGATTTGGAAAAGGATGTTTTAAGCAAGAGTCCAGCTTCTCAGAGGGGGGATCCAGACGATTCCTAATTCTGCCCTAGAGGGAATTGGGAGAATTAGAGGAAAAGAGTATTTAATTGCATTGCAAAACTACGTAGCCTTGGGAAGAAGGGTACATTCTGGTTTAAATAGAATTTACTCTGTGCTTTTGTACCCAGGAATTGCTAAGTACAGCATCCCATCAGTGAAATGCACATCAGAATAAAGCTAGAAGTACTTCAGCCCATCTTTTTCCCATTGGCAGCACTCAGGCAGGATGGGATCTCATTAACCTGATCCAGGACACCTGCTTGTGAGTCTTCCCTCCTGAATCCACATGGAGATGCTCACCAGTCAGCAGGGACTTGTTCTTCTTTCCCATGCTTATTTGGAGGACATCAGGCAAAGCCCCTGCAACCTGGAGTAGAGCATCACTTTAGGAAGAGACAGGGCTGCCCATGTCCTCCTGCTCACCAGGAGAGATGTCTTTCCAGCCCCTAAATCTCCTTGTGGGAAAGCTTGAGCTCTCAGTGCCTGGGAAAAGGCACTGTGCTGTGCAGTTTTGCTTTTACTGTTACACTGAGGAAATGCCCTTTTTAGCTCTCATCAGTCTTAGATTGACACGGCCACATTTCATCTGCTTTTCACCATGGCTCACAAAGTGGCTGTTCTGAACTCTGCCAAAGGCTGGGTTTGCACTATTCATCCTTTGGGGAAAAGCAAGCCAAAAACCAGCATCAATCTAATCCAAGCCCAGCAGTCCTTATATTTGGAAGCTTATGAGCTTGTAATCATGTGGGATTGGAAAAACAGCTCTACCTCAAAGCCTGGCGGCTTTGGAGGAGCAGGGCTGTTGTTCTGCTGGATAATTCTGCTGCAGGGTGTAGCTGAACTTGCTGTCTGGTACAGCAGCACCCAAAATCCCTTCTCCTTCCTGGTGCTGGAGCAGAGCCCTGGGCAGGGCAGAGCCTGCAGTGCCTGTTGCTTTGCACCTTCTGGATGGTGCCAAGGGGTGATGGGAGTATTTGGTCTGGGTATTCTGTGGAAATGTCCTGCTGAGACACATCTCTGCCTTGGTGTGATCAGTGTGTGAGAAAGGGAGGGAGAGGGGAAGGGAGAGCTTCAGGGAAGTGTGGTCCTGCATGTCCCTGCGCTGCACAGGGCTCCAGTGCAGGGTTTGGTGCAGAACCAGCTTTGGAAAACTCAGATATCAGCATCACAAGAAAATTGGCTTTGGTTTGCTAATCTTGGCATCTCAGCCCAGTCTGATGGGGCAGGATGGGGGCCTGGGGAGAGAATGGCCATGACCCCCTGGTGCAGCACGCCCTGAGAACAAGGGCAGGGTTTTGGGGCACTGACTGGAGCAAAAGGCATCCTGGTGGACTCAGGCCTCGGTGACACCGGGCAGCAGCAGGGACATCTTCCCAGCTAAACCCCCGTGCGCCCCTAAGGCCAGGTAAGTGCCTGCCTTCCAAAACAAGCCAGCCCCAGCTGTGCAGGGAGCTCAGGCTGCAAAGGTATTTAGGGCTGTTAGTGAACATCCCCTGGTTCTTTCCTAAGTCCCCACCACAGAATCACAAGCCTCCCTCCTAAAGCTGACAGGGACAACAAGCTCCCACGCATCCTGCAAGCCAGTGCAGGTACCTAGCACACTTTTAAGACAGATGTCTCCAGCTCCATCCCTTCTGGTTCCTTCCTCCCTGGGGGATTAATCACTCTGAAAGGTCCTCACTACCCTGAGGGCGAGGGCAGAAAAGTGGAATTTGGGAATGCATTGCCAAAGTTGCTGCATTCCTG